GGGTAGGCTTATTCGATACCTTAGAGTAGTTTCATAGCACATTAGGCCTTCTAATAGGGATCAGAAAGCATCCCCACCCGTGCATATTATAGTCTCATGACACATGTATTATATAGTAGCCTGGTAGCCTATATTGTAGTCTGGGAACACATCTGTGTTACATAGTCTCACATGTTTAGTTTTAGTAGAGGTTTTACGGCGCTCGCAACTGCATTAGGTCACATGAGCGAGAGAAGATATATAGGTGTTACAAGAGAGTAACAAACACAAAAAAGAAGAAGAGGAGATAAGAAGGACGATAGAATCTAGATGTTTCATAGGAAAGAAGAACCAAACCACACCACAGCACCTGCAAACCATCCACTTATTCTCACGTGTAAACATGTTCCATAGTATTTTCGCCATCTGATTCACAGTAATACTTGCTCGCCTCACAACTTGTGTTTTTCTGTTTCACATTCAGAGCCCTTGCCCGATAATACCAAAACGACGCCATCTGATTAGTATATATCGAAGTGCATATGATGTGTTAGCGATAGTCAACATACAGTTATGGATAGAGTTAGTTTTGTAGACTGTACAATATTGTCACTTTTTTCTAGCTACGTTTCACTTTCTCCAAGAGACTGTCCGAAATTCTACATAATTTTAAGATAGATACATGATAGTTATCGGAATCTTATTTAGAGCATCACAATGGTTATGCTACCATCTATGCAAAAAGTATCGAGTTATTGCATTCGTGTTGTTGTTGTTGTTGTTGTTGTTGTTGTTGTTGTTGTTGTTGTTGTTGTTGTTGTTGCTGCTGCTTTTGATGCAATGATGATGATCAGGGGCGGTTTGTTAACTGGGCAAGACCGGCGATGCCGGTCAAAGTTTTGTCAGCTGGACTGTTGACAAGAGATTTATTGTTGATGCTGATTTTCATTCAGTTTTAAGTAAATCCGAATAAACATGTATCAATATTCAAAAGCACCTTGCCGATTTGAAGGCGTTCAAATAGACAAGTGGGATTCACTACTGTTTTGTCGCGACAGAGCCTCATTCCGTCACCTTTGTTTGTCGCACCGGCTCGTAACTTTAAATCGTCTCCCGTCAAACCGTCACGTCGCGGAACTTCGTACGAGGACAAACGAACACTGCGGATGGACAAATCCATCTACTGCCCTGAGACTACAAAGAAGGAATATAAACATCCCTAGATTGCCAAGTTGGCCTCCGTGTTGCTTACAAAATCGGTAATGAGACTGTCTTGAGTCT